TTCCTGTCTGAGCGGGACTGCAGGATGGGCCGCTTCATGGCCGCCCAGGGTCTCTGGCTAGGCTTCATGGTCAGGTGGGACTGGAGGCTAGGCTCAGCAGTTGGAGAGAGACTGGAAATTTGCTTCCCGAGCTGAGCAGGGCTGTAGAACAGGCTTCATGACAGGTGTAGCCTCTTGGCCGGGGATCCAAGTCAAGCACAATTGCCAACCTAGCTCCCTGGCCAGATAAGGTAAACGGCGAGGCTCTGCCAATGGGCACAGCTGCTGGCTGGGTCTCTGCCCAGGGACAGCTGCTGGCGGAGTGTGATCCTCCGAGATCTGAGTACTGGTTGCTGTAAGCCCTCCTCCGCTTCTCTGCCTCTGTCCGGTCCAGACTGGTCTAACTCTGTAGATTGTCCCCGAGATCCTTGTGAGGCGAGACCCAAGTGGGCTTCCTGGGCAGTGTTCCAGAATGCTGGGGCAGCTAGATACTCCCCTGTGCTCTCTCTTGCCACTGGAGGGGCCACAGGCCCAGCGGGCTTCTTGGCATGATGCTGTGCTAACCTGGGGGAGGTTGGCAGTCAAGGCAAAACTGTTCCTCTTACCCTGCTTGCGTGGCCCTTCTGTCACTCAGGGAGATTCTTCAGCCTCACCCCCAGGTTCTGGGATTCTCATGATGGTGTCTAGTCCATGCATAATCGGTTGTTGGTCTTCTTGGTGAGGGGAACTGAGGTTGGAAATGATCTGTGTTGCCCTCTTGACGTCACCTCCCCTGTTTCTTAAATAGACTTTCAATCAATATACTTTAGCCTCCATTCAGCTCTGCTCTCAGAGATATGTGTTTTCACCAATTTTGATTCTCTAGGGGATAGTACAGTATAAATTGGACTTCCCAGGTGGCATTAGTGGTAAAGAACTCGCCTGCCAAAGCTGGAGATGTAAGAGACATGAGTCAATCCCTAGGACAGGAAGATCCCCTGGAGCAGGGCGTTGCAACCAACTCCAGTATTCTTGCCTGGAGAATCCCATGGACAGAGGAGCCTGGCAGGCTATGTCCATAGCGTCACAAAGAGTTGGACATGACTGAAGCGACTCAGCACAAGCACACACACAGTGTAAACGGGTTTGTTTTTGGCTTTCTTCAGCACTGACAGGATTTTCTTTTATCAGATCTGAAACATGATTTATAAAACATCCATTTGCTTTCTAGCTTCCAAATTTTGTTGTTACTATGCACTCTTCCATTCTTCCTGTCATTGTGGGTTTGTGATTTATAATAAATCTCTTGTGAATTCATTTTACTAAGCCTTTAGCAGGAGTAAATATATGTGTTTCACTCACCATTTTGTTTTTTCCCATCAGCACTTTGCTTCTCATAATTTCCTTGGACATCACTTTCTATCTTTAGAGGGAATGGTTCAATGCATTTTGATGGGTTAATAGCACAGATACACATCCAATAAAAAGTGTGTTAACGCCTTTCCATGCAATTTCTGATGTATTATGTTAAAGAAAAACCAGAGCTGGTTGGTAGTTAAAGCAATAAAAACAGATTTTATTCAGGACAGTTGTGATAGGGAAAAAGAGACCCTGGTACAAAACTGGCTCAATTCTGAATACAACATGAACAAGTGGGAATTTGTAGCCAAGGGGTGCAGAGGGGAATGGAGGGGACAGTCAATGGATGGAAAATTACTAAAAGGAAACACTGGGGCTAAGGGGGGATTTTGGCTGAACCAACTTAACAGGATTCTTGCAGAAGGCAGGCCCAAGTGATCAAATATTAAAGATAGCAGTTGAGGAATGTGATCAGATATTATAGTGATCAGAAATCAACTATGTGGACTTGCTCTAAGTGGATAGAGCAGGATTCTTGCTAAAAGTGGGCCCAACAAGACAGACCCTGAGCCACCTGGGAATCTCCTAACCAACCTTATGTACTTTACTTTCTCATCTATGAAATGGGGATCATAATAGTACCTGCCCATGAGAGTATTGTGAGGATTAAATGAACTAATTCATGTAAAGAACTTAGAATTTATATTATGAACTGTCATCGGCAATAAACATATTGTCCAAATTAATTTCCATAAGCCTGTGGAAAAAAAGACACTTATGTGGGTATATAGGCATACTTCAGAGATATTGTAGGTTCAGTTTTTAGACCACTGAAATAAAATGAGTATTACAATAAAGCAATGCACACAAATTTTATGGTTCCACAGTACATGTGAAAGTTCTATAGTCTAAGTGTGCTATATCATTATGTCAGAAAAACCAATGGATATACATTCATTAAAAAATACTTTATTGCTAAAAAATGCTAACTATCATATAAGCCTTCTATGAGTCATTTTTTTTTTTGCAATAGTGACATCAAAGATCATTCATCACAGGTCAGTAATAATAACAATGAACAAGTTTGAATTGTTTTGAAAATTACCAAAATGTGGCACAGAGAATGAAATGAGCAAATGTGGTTGGAAAAATGGCACTGGTGGGCTTGCTCAATTCAGGGTTTCCACAAAACTTCAATTTGTAAAAAATGCAGTATCTGCGAGGCTCAATGAAGTGAAGTGCAGTTGGGTGACGTGCAATGTACACTTTTCATTCTTGACAAGACTGCTTGTAAAATTAGAAAGAAAGCAATAAATATCATAAGAAAAAAATGTTCTTCAGAAAGTCAGGAAAGCATGCCAGCTCCCAGAATTTTTGTCTGTTGGAAGGCTATAGAGATTAAGAATTCTTTGCTTAGATCCCATCTCACCAAAGTTTTAACTCTAGTTTATTGAGAAATATTTTTCATGAAATGGAATCTAAGACAATAAAGAAAATTAATGAGAAATGTAGAATTCCCTCCATGGCTCGATGTAAAGTAAAGCATTATCTGCAGATTCATTTTCCTAAAGCTGTGCCAGTGCAAGTAAACTAAGTGGAAAGGAAATTCTCCTGATGATACGAGCCAATAAAACCCACTCAATGGATTTTGGATTTGAATTACGCACACTGACTTTTTACATTTATTTGAATGCATTTGTTAGCTGCACTACAATCTTTGCCCATATTGAAAGGCCCAAATTATCTGCTAATATAATGCATATGAGCTAGTTCTCAGAAATCATTAAACTATGGATGGATTTTTCTTCATGATATTTTAACATCAGAGGGTAAAATATATTATTTTATCTTCTTGTCTTAAGAAGTTTAATCTAGTAAGCATGGGTCTAGATGGAGGATGGAGGGAATATTAGAAACAAACTCAATTTCCTCTTTTCTAAACTAGCTTCAAATTATCTGTGGTTCTGATTCTGGGTCATTATTTAATTCAAGTGGGAAATACATTTGAGTTTCTGTTCTCTGTAAAGCATTCTGTAGAATTTAATGGAAGATTTAAAGATTCAAGAGGATTTTAAGCCCAGTTTTAGAGGCAAATTATATGTAATTATACAAGGCAGTATAAGAGCTATATTTTGTTTAATATGTATGTGTGTGATTTAATTTTGCAAAGAAAATTTCAGGAGTCAAATAAAATCTGTAATAGAGTCAAGACTCCACAGTATTGTAGGATCCTCCACAAAGAAATTAATTTTATTCAGGAGGATTAAAAAAGATAGTTTAGCTGAGTCTTGAGGATAACTGGGATTTTGATTAATAGAACAGGGACCACATAAACAAAACTGTGCAAGTATCTAACATAATTAGTCAATGGCATAGAGTCTGTTTAGACTTCAACATATGGACAGTGGGGCCCAAAGTGTGACAGATCTCTGGGACCTCAGATATTTAAAGACTTAGCCCTAGGTTTTCAGATGTACCTAGTGATTAGCTAAGAGTAGCAGTCTCCAAATTATATTATTTAGAAAGCTAGTTCAGAAAAGTGTTTAGAGATATTTCAAGGAAAATAGGATTTAATAATTAAAGAAGTTTTGGAAATCCTAGACAATTCAAGACAATATGGACAGTATTCTTTACTGCAGGACATTTAGGAGCCTTTACTATGCTAGTAAACAGAATTAGTCTTACAATGTGAGTTCTTGGCTGGACAGTTTAGGTGTTTTGGAAATATTGGTTTAGTTGCTTTGAATTCTGACCACGATCTGAGTTCCTTTCAATCAATGATAGCAAATGCTTTGTTTCTTCCTACCTTCTTTCTTTTAACCTCCCCGCTTCCTTATTCCCTTTCTTTTTATTTAATTTTTCTCTTTCAAGAAATTTGTATTATAATTAAAAAAAAATCTGTGACCACAGTGCTATGTTAATTTAAAAACAAAGTCTTTTGTGCCCCTTTTAAAGAAATTGATTCTAAAAACACTGATGAAAATAAGTATTCTCCCTGTTCTAAAAAGACCATCCTCTCACAGTGGGACATGGCTTCCCTTATATTCTTGATTTAAAAACAGTTCTTTCTAATTGGGGAAGGATAGCTATATATATATATATATATATATATATGAAAGTTTTAATCTTGAATGCAGTTTCTGTTATGAGGAAAAAAGGGGATAAATGTCTACCAGCCACATCAGCTGAATCCCTCCCTCTGCAGGTCAGTGGGTGATATTGAACAAACACTCTAAAAATACTTTTTTAGTTGCTATCAGCCTTGTTATGCGCCTTGTGCTGAAAATTAAATATTTTTCTCATTGTCATTCAACTCATGTAATAGGAAGAGCTAGAATTAGAACCCAGGAATTTCTGATCTCAAAACCACCACCTTTCGTTGCCTGCGGTTATGCAGATTAGAACTTCTCAGTAAAATCACCAAAGGAAGGCTACCCCCCTTTATGTTTCTTCTGATAAACTGCACAATCTGAGAACATTTTAAAGTCATTTTTTTTTGGTAGCAGTGGCAATTAACATACAGACAATATACAAGCAAGTACAAAACATAAAAGAAAGCAAAGTAGTGAAAAATGTTGTAAATAAGTCAATCATACTTTTGAGATCAATAATAATGGCATCATTTTTCATCTAAATGGCAGAGATATAAACATCATAATCTTTTGTAAATTTGCCCCCTCAAGATGTCTCTTTGGCATGTAGATTATTTCAAGGTGAAAACAATCAAGGCTCAAAAGACTCAGGAAGAAATTTCAGCCTTCCTCCTAACTACGTAAAGAATGAAGACAGAGGCCCTATTTCAGGAAGGGAGCCATTACCACAGATGAATGGCTGAAGTATGAACTAGGCGTGGAGACAGGGAGGAATTTAGGTAAGTCTGTCTGTTGGAACTCCTGTCTGTGTCTCATTGTCTCAATGTGGCCCAGCAAGCATTTGTTTACTGAATATTTGCTTTTCCCTCTCTATGTCAGTTGCCTTCCTCCCCTTTGAAGTCCCAGACCACCACCCTCAACATCCTCTTTTGTCTTTGGCTAAAGACGGTATTTAAGGTGAAGTTTTCAGCTATTTTGATGAGTTGAGTTTTTCCAGAGTCTCTCTCACATGTGCATGTTATTAAACTTTTTGATTTTTCTCTATTACTCTGTTTCACGTCAATTGAATTCTTAGACTAGCCAGAATAATCTAGAAAGGGTGGAGGAAAATTTCTTCCCAACACCAGGTGGCACTGGTGATAATAAACCCACCAGGCAAAGCAGGAGACATGAATTCCTGGGTTGGGAAGATCCCCTGGAGGAGGGCATGGCAACCCACTCCAGTATTCTTGCCTGGAGAATCCCATGGACAGAGGAGCCTGGTGGGCTACAGTCCATAGGCTGGCAGAACCGGACACAACTGAAGTGACTTAGCACGCAGCATACACTTTCAATTTCACATTTAGATACCCCCACCAAACCCTCCCCCACCCCAAAATCCTTTTCAGATTAACATATCCTGCAAAAAATTTAGGGGGGTAAATTATTGACTGTGACTAATTTAAAGACATTATTTAATGTAGAGAACATTATGAAATCCAGAAAATGTTTTCAGAAATGAATATTGTAGAGTTCTAATTAAGTATAAAATAACAAAATTAGAAATGAGTAACATGCATTTGTGAGAGGAAAAGAACATACAAGATATAAAGTAGTGTAACAGAGAAGAAAAATCTTTAACTGGAGCACTGTTAATCCTCTTTGATGAAAATTCAGTGGAGACCAGTGAGACTCCTGAATGCACACTCCTCAAATTGTACCAAGACTGGAAGTGTAGAGAATCAGCTGACATGTGAAATTGGTTTTTAAAGAATGTGAAAATGCTTGAGGTTGACATTTGTTAAAAGCTATTCCACTAAAATGGTATAATTTTTAATAAATACACAAGAAACCAAAATGTCAAAAGATGAATCAATCTTCTCTTTTGTAGCTCTGCTAGTCTCACCCCCACTGTGACTCTTTCATTTGGAAATTATTCACAACAAAAGGACAAGTCTCTCATTTTTGTGGCCAGGAGAGGATAAGGGAGATGTTATTTGAATTGTAAAAGTCCTTTTTTAAAATGCTTACTTTGTAATAAAAATGGCACTTTAATCTGAAGAACGATTCTTTTTCACTTTTGTTACCTAATATACTACACAATTTCAATTGATCATCTGGAATACTTTAATTGACTATGAGATAAATCTCCCTCTTCTCCATTAGGCTATTTAACTTTAATTTTCATAATGAAATGGAGTAAGAAAGGTCAAGCCTTCCCCTCCGAAGACCCAAGTGAAAAATCTCATTCATCTTCTAAGCAAGACTGTCTTTCACAAAACATCAGGTTGCATAATTGCTCAAGGAAACAGGTTCTAGGAGGCAGTGTAGGACCTAAAGCCCTTTGGAAGGGATTTCCAAGAATTAAATATTTTTCACTCTGACTCATTTATTTCCCTTATCCCTCTTCCTGGAAAATACCGACCCTCCAGTCCCTAAGATTGACAATTTGCTGTTGGGCTGTAGGGTTACAGAATCCTACCTTTTGGTCTTGAAGCATATCATGCATATATGGGGAGAGGTTGTAGGGGAGAAAAAAGAATTTTCCCTCTACCCTTCTAGATACTTGGCTGACACCTTCCCCTGACCCCTGTAATAAGAGAGATGAACAGGAGAAAAAGCACAGACATCCTCCTTCATACAAAGGAAAAGTAAAGTAAAGTGAAAGTCACTCAGTTGTTTCCGACTCTTTGGGACCCTATGGACTATACAATCCATGGAATTCTCCAGGTCAGAATACTGGGGTGGATAACCTTTCTCTTCTCCAGGAGATCTTCCCAACCCAGGGCTCGAACCCAGGTCTCCCACATTGCAGGCGGATTCTTTACCAGCTGAGTCACAAGGGAAGCCCTCACACAAAAAGGAGATACGCAGGAAAACCAAACTGGCCCAAGCTATCACCTTAAAATAACATTTCCAGATAAAAACAAAAGATAATGTGTGAGGGAGAGCCAGGTTTTCAGACGAAGAACAGTAAATAAGAATATGGTTACTATGCAGATTTGAGTCCTTGTCTTCTCCAGTGATAGGAATTTCTGTAGATTTAGTCATCCTCCTTTTCCTGGTTGGGCTTCTGGGGTGGTGCAGTGGTAAAGAATTTGCTTGCCAGTGCAAGAGCTGTAGGAGATGTGAGTTCACTCCCTGGGTCGGGAAGATCCTCTGGAGTAGGAAATGGCAACCCACTCCAGTATTCTTGCCTGGAAAATCCCATGGACAGAGGAGCCTGGCAGGCTACAGTCTATAGGGTCACAAAGACTTGGACATGACAACACACACACACACACACACACACATACCACCCTCTTCCTGATACTGAGAGGGAGATTCCCCTTATAAATGTAAATTTCTCTTACCAAAGGGTAACTTTGACTTGGTTTTCAGATTTCCTCTCCTGTCTGTCGTTTTTTAAACACAATCAGCCTAAAATGATCCTTATGCATATTTTGTGACAAATTCTTCTGTCCTTCAAGGTCATCAGAGAGTAGATCCTACCTAAGGGTCACATCTATCACTAAAATGGTAACATTAAAAAAATTAGTATGTTCAATAGAACAGAAAAGATTCTTCATTAAAAAACTTCAGAGATGCATATAAAGCAGCAGTCTTCAGACTCTTAAAGCGTGCATCAGAATCACAGGTCAAGGTTCTGATTTGGTGAATGGGCTGGGGAAGAGAGTCCTTTTCTAACAGGTTCGCAGATGTCTCCTACTGCTGGTCTGGGCACCATGCCTTGAAAGTTCTAGCAAGTGAGCTGTTATTACCCCCAAACTGGATCTGCCTCTTGGTGGGTGTTTAGCTAGAAGACACAACCAGGTCAAAGACCAGGAGAAGGAAGGATTTGTTACTTGCAGTAAGTAAAGAGAAGCCCGGGAATATTTCCCAAAGCATTGTCTCTTTGAATAACGAAACTGGGGAAATTTTAAGCTATAAGGGTGGATGATTATTCACCAATGGGCAAGGGTGCCTGCATATTTATGAAGGGTCCTGTTGTGCAAGGGCAAGCATTGTGGCCAGGTTTAAGACTAAAATAGCTTCTCTTATGTCAAGAAAGCCATGTCTGTTTCTCCTCCTTCAGGGACCCCTACCATAAATGCCTACACTGCGACTCACTTATGTGCCTTGAGTGGGTTTCAAGTGAGCTTTGGGGTAGCAGGTGACTTGTTGAAGGGCCAGAGCCATAGCCCTGTTACCGCTGGCTAAGATCGCCTTGTCTGTGTATCTCATTGTGCCATAGAAATATTATTACTTTCTAAATATGCCATGACATGAAAAATTTGGGAGTGTATTTAATTCTACAGAGCTGTTTCCAGTGATTTAATTCTATTGGGAAAATTTAGTGTAACTTGTCTTTAAAATAGATTATTTAAATGTGGTAAGGAATCCTGGAATCATTCCCCAGACACTTTGTAAGGAAGAAGAGGAAGAAATCAGAATATTTGTTGAGCGAGTTCTTTGTGGCAGGCACATACCAGGCTCTTAATATGTTATTATGTTTAGTTCTCTCCACAATCTAATGAGATAATTGTTATTTCACTCTTTTCACTTCACCTAACTGAGGTTTTGAGTACATAAGTAATTTGCCAAGGTCACAGAGCAGGTAAATGAAACCAGAGGGAAAACCAGTCTCTGACTTGAAGTTCCAGAGCTGTATTATGTGGTCTTGGGGATGAAGGCCTTTCTTTACATCATCAGAAATTGGATCAGCTTCAGAAAAAGTTAAGCCAGTTTGAGGTTATATCTAAGTTCCCAAATTAAAAGTCAACCAAGGAAATTTTTACTTTATTGGCTTCCCCAATATATACACTAGGTTTGCAGGGGATTGTGTAGGTAGAATCTTTAAACGTGTGGTTACCAGGTTTCCTTGTGCATGCTGTGTGTGTGTTTCCTTTCTGATATGCAGCTGCAGTTGATGCCTGTAGTGGGTCATACCTTCTGGCTGTGTTCTGTATGCACAGTGAAGTGGTGATTTGGGCAGTCACATGAGAGTGGGCTTGAGGACCCAGGTTTTTTGGGTAGTTTTCCTCTGTCCTCTGCGTCACTTTGTGGAGACTCAGTCCTGGGGGCCCTTGTCTAGAAGCTGTCTCTCATCGCCTCTGCTGCTGGTCTTTGGGTTTAGACTCATCCACCCTTTGATTTTTGCCTCCCTCATTTTTGGAACACATAATTTCTAACTCATAACACTCTTTACATTTAGTTAGCATTTCCAGTTTACTAGAGTTTCAACTTATCACTTAAAATGTTTAAAGGGCTCATTAATTTCTCTTCTTGTGGCTCCCCTCTCATTATTTCCTGTCTGAAACATGCCCCATTCTCAATGGGGTGCCTAAATAAGTGCTTTAACTGGATGCTTTATTAATTACTTTTGCTGATTTTCTTCAATTACTTTAATTAGTGCTGTGCTGTATTATTTTTATCTCTTGACTCCTCAAATTAAAAGTTCACCTTTTGATATATTGAATATGTACACAGAGAAGGAGATCACTTGAATGAATTAAGGCTTGTAGCTGGGAACTGTACTGTAATTAAAAACATGTGGAACCTTGAAAGGCTGCCATTTGATAATAGGTGACAGAATCATATCCAGAGAGATTAAGAGATTGGCTGGTAGCACTGCTAATGGAAACAGAAATCAGCCAGACCTCAGATTGAAACCTGGATTGTAATGATCAGTTCTGTGATCTCAGTCAACTCACTCGATGCTTTTGAAAATGTTTTTTTTTTTTTTTTCCACCTAAAGTGTGGTGAAATAGTAACAATAATAGTAATAACACAGGGTCATTGGAAAGAAAACTAAAGTGCT